AATAATTGCATTTCCATGTTCTGTGTACTGTGGGAGACCAGATATAGTGAATGCAGGGTCCTGGGTTTAGTAACACTTTAAGGGCTCATTTGCACTTGTGAATGGGAGGGGGCAGTAAAACCATGTGGTTGAGCCACATTTTAGTGCCTCCCCCACCACAGTCCCTCCATATTTAGCTGCAAAGGCAGTGGCCAGGCGTGTACACATGTCATGGCCATGATGCTTTGCTTTGTGGCTATGGCAGGAATGATATCCTCTGTAGCATTCTGTGGGCACTACTGCTGGCTGAACTCAACCCATTCAAGTGAATGGGGTGGCATTGCAACCGCAATGCATGCAGCTTCAGCATGATAGTGCAGCACATAAGTGGTTAAAAAAGGTGGTGAGGAAGGGACATTTCACCTCCATAACTCCTGTCAAGTGTTTCTGAATGGAAGAAGAAGCATAGGGGGCACCTTTGGATAGCAGCATTGTCAGTCTGGAGGGAGCAGAGTGGTCAATGTATTAGCACATTTAGATACAGTAACAAATTAAAGCCAAACTCCAGCTAACAGTACAGTTACAGCAACAATTTTTTCCTTTTGGAATAAAGGTTTTACATGAATAAAAGCTGACCATTGTAAGCACCCCTGTCAGTGTTAAATAGTTTGCCCAACACTCTAATTGCTACATTTTCAGGAGAGCTCATTCTGTTGAAATGCAACAGACTTACTGGCAGGATCAACAGGTAAAAATAAAGGAAAATAAGCCTAAAAAAACAAATGCAGCCACCACATATAAGAATTGAGAAGGATTCCGCTTTAAGGATAATATGTTAACACATCAGCTAGGAAGCTAGAGAAAACATTTGGTATTGGACTGGCTGCAATCGCATTTTCACCAGCTAATGTGTAATGTTCATGAACTCATGAGACTGCATCTTATGATATATAGCCAGCTGCATGTTGTTGCTTTTGTTACATACACATATATATTTGTTTTCTCTTTTTTAGGTTTTGAGAAGTTGGAACATTTACCAGCAAAAAAATGATTCAATAAAGTTCATAAATCATAAAGCTGCTTATACTATATGATATTTATAAAAAGCGTGAAACAGAAGTGTCTCTGTAATGGAAATATTCAAGTTTAGTTGAAACATATAGTAGATGCAACCATGTAGGTTAGGATTTGTTTGTTTTATGTACAATTCTTTAGATAATATATCTGATTTTATACTTGATAGTAATTTTATGACACAAATTCAGTGTTTATCTGTCATAGTAATGGCAAAAACATGCATATACTATCACAAGGTTCATGTTCTTTCAGATAGTATGACTGCCCATCACCAGTAGGAATGCCGAAGTCTTTTTTTTTCTTGACATGGCGTTTAATTATCTATGCATCTTGATGGAAAACATTTCTGATCCAAAATGGCAGCTTTAATTGGCAATTCATTTTACTGTCAGGAAACTCCCTGACTTCTCATGCATGACTGATGTTTGACTGCAGGTGACTGCTAACATGATATCTGCAATGCCAAACTTACATTTTATTTAAAATCTAGACCCAATAGATGCAGACGGTGGTTTACAGGACATTTTTTAAGCATGGCACCAAGTGAAATTGTATGAATGTAATAAATGTATTTTAGAATCTCTATTGTGCCCCATCTAGAGTTTTAATTGACATCCACTGTGAGGTCAGACTGCAGAAATGACATAACGGGATATCGATGTGAAATGTGATCAAGGCCCTCTCATTGTTCTTTGTGCAATATAACAAACACAATTATACTTTAGTGATTAAGCATAAGACAATGGTTCACTGTCATCTCTACTTGTCCTGACAGTTCATTGGCTTTTTCTGGGGACAAATCATGAAAGTATAAGAGCGCTAGTTCCTTCACGTCTCACTATGAAAACAAGTATGTAGTGACAAAACCTTAAAGGGAGGTATATTGCACTTTCAGTGAGTGTGTTTAAAGCATATTTCCACTTTTGCAGTCATATTTGAGAAAATCTCACTATATGTTTATGTGTTCCCATTCACTCAGCATACCTAAGAATGTTTCCAAATGATTTCTTACCTTTTAGATGTTTTTCAGAAGGAGGTGTCATGGCTGACTGCAAAACCTTTTGAACAATGTTAGAGTGAGCCTGTCCCAGGTCTGTCCTCATCAACATACATTGCAAGGAGCACAGACGTTACACCTTTAACGTTTTGTTAGAATAATCAGTGTTCCAATAAAGTTACATTTGATAATGAAGCTCTACCTGTGCAGAAGTCCCCTCATATTCAAAGAAAACTACCTAGGATCTAAGGATGTAAGGTTCAATCGTTAATTAATTTTTTAAAGTTATGTTATGTGAATGAGGACATGTAACAAATATAAAGTAGACATTGGCTGCAAAAGTGAAAATGCACTTTAACACCTTCCCACCTGGCTTATAGCAGATTGACGGCCGGGCGGGACATTCACCATTGTGACTGGGCGTCATATGATGTCCTGTTGAAACGAGCAGCTCACGTGGCCGCGGGGCCATGCAGTGGCGTGATCTGTCACCGGCTCTGTCCATGGAACACAGTCGATGACATATCACTACACTGGCCCGTTGCCAGTGTCATGTGACCACTGTGACCAATGCAGATCACATGTCAATTGTAAACAATGGATGGCTTCCTGTCTTGCCATCCATTGTATACAATTATGTTGTTAGCTGTGACTGGTCAAGACAGTCACATGATACAGACAGGGCCAATCACAGCCCATCTGTATCATATGATCAGCTTTGCCTAATCACAGCTAATCACAACAAAATACTGTATTAATCAGTTTTATTCAGTAACAATGATTGCAAATATCAATGAAATACATTAGTATTAGCAATCATAATGTGTTAAATTAAAAAAAAAGTAGTTCAATTTTACTATGGTAACATTGTATTGCTTTGGTCACAGTGTGCTGAAAAATAAAATAGTGAAAAAAAGAAACAATGCAATAAAAAACATTTGAAAAAAAATATACAAATTCAATTATTATTATTTTCACAAAAGAAATATAGCAGAATACATTTTGACCTAAACTTATGAAGAAATGTTATTCATTTGCAAAATTTTATAACAGAAACATCAAAGTGTGTTTTTTTTCAGGTGGTTTTTGTTTTATTTAGCAAAAAATAAAAGAAATCAGTGGTGATTAAATACCACCAAAAGAAAGCTCTATTTGTGTGAAACAAATGATAAAAATTTCATATGGGTACAATGCTGCATGACCGCGCAATTGTCATTCAGAGTGCGACAGCGCTGAAAGCTGAAAATTGGCCTGGGCAGGAAGGGGGTAAAAGTGCCCGGTATTGAAGTGGTTAAATTATTATGGCAGTGCAGCAGTTTTTAGCGTGTATGTCAATGTAAAAAGATATGCAGTCTCTGCAATACATGCAAATGTTTGATAGTTTTATCCCTTTAAAGACCCTGCAAGTACAGAAAAATACCCATATATTCGCTATATGATTTCTCTTCAATAAATTTGTAGGTTCCTAAAGACCCCCAAGGAAAAGAAATAGAAGTTCCTGAGTTTCCCTGCCTGAGTAGAGAGACAACACATGGTATGATTGATGTAGCTGGGCATGACCTGCAGCCAAGTGAGAGGCTCTCCTCTGTCAGAACCAGAGTGCAGGTAGACAGGCAGGATCCTAATAGCATGCAGCTTCTCCAGAAGACCCAGTTACTGTAGGGAGCACCTCCCAATTGCTCCCAGAATACTCAAGTTCCAGTGGGATGACCCAAAACACGTGAGCAACCGGTGTAGTCAGAGATCCTGATTTGTATATTTTTTCCAGGAAGGTAAGGGGCAGGGGTGGACTGACAACTCATGGGGCCCCCGGGCAATAGGGGATCATGGGGCCCCTGTGTCCTTGCCCAAACTCAAAAAAGCCTATGAAAAAGGTACCAGGGGCATGTCATGGGGCCCCCTACTGACCCCGGGCCCTCGGGCAGTGCCCGAGTTTCCAAATGGTCAGTCCGCCCCTGGTAAGGGTCCATTCAAACTACTGTGAATGGCAGCCCAACGCACCTTGCAAACAGATGTGCATTGCAGCACATTCAGTATGGTATGCTGCCAAAAATGGTACGTACACCTTATTTGCTGCATTGGGGTGCATTAGGCAGCTCATTGAAATGAATGGGCTGCCTTAACGAAAAGCACATTAACGTCCATGTGCTGACTCAGTGCCTTTGTGTTAATGGGCCCCCAGAATGAAGCCCTTATATGAGCAGGAGAGCCCCTCGCCTAGGAGGAGCGGTCAGCAATTATATATTTCCCTTAGCACAGCATATTTCCCTTAGCACGAGGAAATCCAAACTGAAACTTTAAAAAGTTCAACTGGGATAGTGGAGCTGAAATGCTTCATTGATCAACACTTTTTGGACAGAAATTTGCAATTCCCAAAGTGGTTGTAAACCTCAGACATGAAACATGAACACAGCATATCCCTCTATAGTGTTTACTTGTCTCAATTAACCACTTGCCATCCTGAGGATTTACCCCCCTTAATGACCAGGCTTTTTTTTGCAATTCAGCACTGCACTAATTCAACTGATAATTGCACGGTCATGCAATGCTGTACCCAAACAAAATTTATGTCCTTTTTTTCACACAAATAGAGCTTTCTTTAGGTGGTATTTGATCACCTGTGTGCTTTTTATTTTTCACACTGTAAACAAAAAAAGACCTAAAAATTTGAAGAAAAACAATATTTTTTACATTTATATATTTTACAAATCATTTAAGTGACAATTTTGTATTAAAAAAAGTTTTTTGGGGATTCTATTCTTTCTTGGATTCAAGCCTTGTATTCTTCCCCGTCGGCTTCCGTTAAATACGCTGGGTATTTCTCAGATTCCTTTCCTATTTGGCGAGGTACGAGACAGGGATGCCCCCTGTCCCCAGCACTCTTTGTCCTGGCGCTTGAGCCGTTGGCTATGGCGCTCCGGACTGATTGCAATATATTGGGGGTTCC